ACCAAATGGTATAGCACCTAAATTCTTTTTTTTTTTGCACTTAATAGTATTTTTCCCATTACATGTAAAGATAGTTTTCAACACTTATTTTTGTAAGATTTGGAGTTCCAAATTTGTCTCCCTACTTCCCTTCTTCTCCCCTCCCCAAGATAGCATGCAATATGATATTGGTTATACATGTACAATCATGTTAAACTTATTTCCACATTAGTCATATTATGAAAGAAGAATCAGAACGATAGGGGAAAAGCACAAGAAAGAAAAAAAGTGAAAATAGTATGCTTCAATCTGCATTCAAACTCCATAATTCTTTCTCTTGATGTGGATAGCATTTTCCATCATGAGTCTCTTGGAACTGTCTTGGATCAATGTACTGCTGAGAAAAGCTAAGTCTGTCATAGTTGATCATCATAGAATGTTGCTGATGCAAAAATTTTAAGCAGAATACTAACAAGCAGATTATAACAATATATCACAAAGATCACATACTATGACCAGATTGGATTTATACCAGGGATGCAGGGCTGGTTTGATATTAGGAAAACTATCAGCATAATTGACCATATCAATAAGAAAACCAGCAGAAGTCACATGATAATCTCAATAGAAGCAATAAAAGCTTCTGACAAAAAAACAATACTCATTCCTATTAAAAACAAAAGGAAGAAGTGGAATCAATGGATCTTTTCTCAAAATGATAAGTAGTATCTATGTAAAGCCATTAGCAAGCATTATCTGAAATGGGGTAAGCTAGAAGCCATCTTAATAAGAGCAGGGTGAAGCAAGGATGCCCATTATCATGACTATTATTCAATATTGTACTAAAATGCTAGCTTTAGCAACAAGACAAGAAAAAGAAAACTGAAAGAATTAGTATAGGTGAGGAGGAAACAAAACTATCACGCTTTGCAGATCATATGATAATATACTTGGAGAATCTTAGGGAATCAATAAATCAAGGTCAAAATGGATACATGACATAGATATAAAGAGAGATATTAAAAGAAAATTTGAAGGAGATAGAACGTGTTACTTATCAGACTTATGAATAGTCCAACAATGTATGAATAAACAAGAGATAAAGAGCAGTGAGGTATAAAATGGATAATTTTGATGCCATTGAATTAAAAAGGTTTTGTACAAATAACACAAATGTAGCCAAGATCAGAAGGAAAGCAGAAAACTGGGAAAAAACATTTTATAGACAGTTTCTCAGATAAAAGTCTCATATCTTATATACAAGAAGAACTTTATAAAATATATAAGAATACAAGTCATTCCCCAACTGATAAATGATCAAAGGATATGAACAGGCAGTTTTCCAAAGAAGAAATCAAAACAATTTATAGTTATATGAAAAAAATTCTATTATTTAGAGAAATGCAAATTACAATCTTGAGATATCATTTTATACCTGTCAGATTGGCTAAAATGATTGAAGGGGAAAGTGACAAATGTTGGAAAAGATGTGGAAAAAATGGTGAAATTGGGAACTGATCCAACCATCTTGGAGAACAATCTGGAATTACGCCCAAAGAGTCACTAAATGCCTATACCCTTTGATCAAGCAATACTGCTACTAGGTCTATTTCCAAAGATGATTAGGGGAAAAGGAAAAATACATATATGTTCTAAAATATAGCAGCTCTCTTTGTGGTGGCAATGAACTGGAAATTGTGCGAGTGCCCATCAATTGGGGGGTGGCTGAACAAGTTGTAGTATATGATCATGATAGAATACTATTGTGCTATAAGAAACGATGAGCTTGTTAATTTTAGAAAAATATAGTTAGAGTTGCACAAAATAATGAAGAGTGAAGTGAGCAGACCCCAAAAAACACTGTATATATTAACAGCAATACTGTTTTAAGAACAACTTTGAGTGACTAAGTCATTCTATTATAAATACCCAAATTAACTATACAGGTCATATGAAGGATGACACTATCTGCATTCAGAAAAAAAAACCTGATAAATAGAAGTATGTATAGAATGACTTTACATATATGAATACACACATATTTGCATGTAATAGTTACTATCTGTAGGGAGGAGAAGGAGGAAGAAAAAAAGAAATTTACATGAAAACTTGTTATATATTTAAAAGGGACAGCAAGTTATATGTAATAAATTAGCAGTTTCATGTGCAATCATCTTTTTTAAATTCTGCTCTTCTGGAAATGTTTGCTTTATTTCACAAATTAGAAATAAAATAAATAAAAACTAAAAAGAGAGTCAACTAAAAACTAGTTGAAATAATTAACAACTTTAGCAATGTTTCAGGATATAAAATAAACCCATTTAAATCATCAGCATTTCTATATATTACCTAAAAAGTGAAACGCTAAGATATAGAAAGAGAAATTCCATTAAAAAATAATTGTAGGTAATATAAAATAGTTGGGAGTCTACCTGCTAAGACAAACCCAGGAACTATATGAACAGAATAACAAAACATTTTTAACACAAATAAAATCAGATCTAACCTGGGAAAATATTAATTGCTCATTGATAGATCAAGCCAATATAATAGAAATGACAATTCTACCTAAAATTTATTTACTCAGTGTCACACAAAGCTATCAAAAATCGTTTTATAAAGCTAGAAAAAACAATAACAAAATTCCCCTGGGAGAATAAAAGGCCAAGAATATCAAGGGAGTCAATGAAAAAAAAAAAGTTAAGGAAGGTAGCTTGGCCATATTATATCTCAAAATGTGTTACAAAGTGGTAATCATCAAAACAAACTGGTACTGGTTAACAACGGAATGGCAAATCAGTGGACTAGATTAGGTACACGATACACAGGAGTACATGACCATAGTAACCTAATGTTTGACAAATTTAAAGATCCAAGCTTTGTGGACAAGAACTCGCTATTTGACAAAAGTTGCTGGGAAATTTAGAAAGCAGTTTGGCAGAAACTAGATATAGACCAATATCTCACATGGTATACCTAGATAAGGTCAAAATAGGTACATGACTTATACATAAACAGTGATGCCATAAGCCAATTATGGGAACATGAGATAGTTTGTGTGTCAAATATATGGATAAGGGAAGAATTTATGACCAAGCAAGAGATAGAAACCATTATGGAATGTAAAATGGATAATTTTGATTACATTAAATTAGGAAGGTTTTGCACAATCAAAACCAATACAGCCACGATTAGAAGGAAAGCAGAAAACTAGAACGAAAAAATTTACAGAAGCTTCTCTGGGAAATGCCTTATTTTTTGAATATATAAAAACGGAGTCAAATTTGTAAGAATACAGGCCATTTCCCAATTCATAAATGGTCAAAGGTTTTGAACAGGCATTGTTCAGATGAAGAAATCAAAGCTATATACAATCATAAGAAAAAATGCTCTAAAGCACTATTGATTAGAGAAATGCAAATTAAAACAACTCTGAGATACCACCTCATGACTATCAGATTGGTTAGTATGACAGAAAAGGAAAATGACAAATTTTGGAGGGGATGTAGAAAAATTGGGACATTAATGCACTGTGCTTGGAGTGGTGAACTGATCCAACCATTCTGTAAAGGAATTTGAAACTATACCCAAAAGGCCATAAAACTATACATATTCTTTGATCTTGGAAAACCACTACTAGGTCTGTTTCCCAAAGAGATCAAAGAAAAGGGAACAGGATCTATTTGTACAAAAATATTTACAACAGCTCTTTTTGTGGTGGCAAATAATTGGAAATCAAAGGGATGACCACCAAATGGGGAATGGCTGAACAACTTGTAGTATATGCTTGTGATGGAATACCATTGTTCCATAAGAAATGATGAGCAGGTGGACTTCAGAAAAACCTGGACTTACATGAACTGATGCTGAGTGAAGTGAGCAGAACGAGGAGAACATTGTACACAGTAACAGCAACACTGTGTGATGATCAACTTTGACAGACTTAACTCTTCTCAGCAATACAAGAATCTAAGACAATTCCAAAAGACTCATGATGGAGTCTATCTACATCCAGAGGGGGAAAAAAAACTATGGAGTCTGAATACAGATGGAAGCATACTATTTTCTCTTTTTTTCTCTTTCTTCTTTCTAGTGGTTTTTCACTTTGGTTCTAATTCTTCTTTTCAACATGACTAATGTGGAAATATGTTTAATATGATTGTACATGTATACCCTGTATCAAATCGCATGACATCTTGAGGAGGGGGGAATGGAGGGAGAAGAGAAAATATAGAATTCAAAATCTTATAGAAGAGAATGTTGAAAACTAAAAACAAATGAATAAATAAAATTTAAAAAAGAAATGATGATAAGGATGCTGTCAGGAAGACCTGGAAAAATTTACATGAACTGATTCAAAGTGAAATGAAAGAACCATGAGAACATTGTACACAGTAACAGCAATATTGTACATTAATCGACTGTGATTTACTAAACTTTTCCTAGCAATACAATGATCTAAGACAATTCCAAAGGACTCCAGAGAAAAAAAAACTGATGGAATCTGAATACAAATCTCTTTATTCTTCTTGGAGTACTTTTGTCTGTGTTTTCTTCTATATCATGACTAATACGGAAATGTTTTGCATGACTGCACATTTAACCTATATCAAATGCTTACCTTCCCAGTGAAGGGGCAGAGGAGGGAGAAAATTTGGAACTAAATTTTTTTTAAATGAATGTTAAAAAAAATGTATGCCTGTAATCGGAAAAAATATAAAATATTTGAAAAAAATAAAAATTATTTGTTATAAGGGATGGCTTTCTGGTAAGTGAGGGAAAGATACAGTGGGGAATGTGCAAGATGTACAGGTAAAAGATATCAATAATAATCTATTTTTTTTAAATCAACATACCAAAGAAAGAAAACTTTTCTTGATGCTCAATTATTTTTCTTTCTGGTTTTGTCTAATAATCCCTCCTCAACTTACAATACTCAACACAACCACATTTATTGGAGTTACTAACTCCTAAGCATTACTTAAAAAATAATATAGTTATCAACATTTTTAAACCAAGAACTAATTAAAACATAAAAGGTATACAACCATGAATTTTTTTCTTTCTTCCAATAACTTCTGTTCCCATTCATCTGTTTTTCTTTTGGTTGCATTGTAAATATTAACCACATGAGCAATGTCTTTTAACAATTTTTGGAGCATTTCATCATCTTTAGTCTTCAGTTTCACTAACTCCAGGATTGTATCATCATACTCTCCTTTTCTGTTTAAACTATGAAGAAAGAGAAGACATGAAAGATCCTTACTTTTAATCTCATTCACTGAGCAAAATTATTCAACAGAGTCTTCAAAAATGAAACTAGGTAAAAGTCACATTTGAGCTTGCAAAGAACCCAAAATAACAAGGTATTCTATTAAAATATAATGCTGAGATTACCACATACACCACTCTCACATTCTTTCATGGTCTATTCCTACAGATGACTTATAAATCTACATACTTAATATTCTCTCTCTCTCTCTCTCTCTCTCTCTCTCTCTCTCTCTCTCTCTCTCTCTCTCTCTCTCTCTCTCTCTCTCTCTCTCTCTCTCTCTCTCTCTCTCTCTCTCTCTTTCTCTCTCTCTCTCTGTCCCTTATGTCTGTCTCTGTCTCTCTCTCCCTCTTTCTCCTAAACCCCAAGCCCACCTTACCAACTACCTGCTGAGACCAGCATGTCCTTCAGGCATCCCAAACTTAGCATGTACAAACAAGAACCCATTCCATTTTCTCCTAAAACAATCTCCCCTCCAAACTTCTCCATTTCTGTTAATAGCACCACTATTCTTCCAAGTACCCAGGCTCATAATCTTAGAGTTATTTTTGATTCCTTCCTCTACCTTACTTTCCACATCCAATCTGTTAATAAATTATATTAATTCTACTTCCATGTAGCTGTCCTTCTCTCCAGTCTCTCACCTTATCTAGGCTTTCATCACTTGTCACCAAGATGAATGCAAAAGCCCTATAACTGATATCATTGCCTCCAATCTCTCTATATTAAATCCATCCTTCACACAGCTACCAAGTTCATATTCCCAAAATGCAATATGACCATGTCACCCTCATACTCAAAAGTCTTCCATGGAGTCTTATTGTCCCCAAGATAAAATGAAAACGTATCAGTGGGACATTTAAAGCCTTCCATAATCTGGTTTCCACCTACCTGTATGTAACATTCCATCTTTACACATGGCATTTCCTCTGGTTTTGTAAAAGTATTGTACATTTGGGATGTATTTATCCTTCATTTTTGTCTTAAAGAATCCCTGACTTCCTTCAAAACTAAAATTCGGGTGCCACTTCATATACAAGGTCTTGTCTGAGTCCTCCTACTCCCCTGTAGCATTCTTTCCTTCTTAAAATTTTATACACACACACACACACACACACACACACTTGTGGATTCTCCCCAACCCCCCAGTAGAATATAAATTCTTCAAGGCAAGGACTATTGTCTTTGTATAATATTAAAAAAAGACAAAAGGTTGTCTTATGTAATAACCTATATAATATTAGCATTGATATAGCATTTTGGAGTTTACACAGTACTTTATAAAAATCATCTCAATTTATTCTCATAGCAACCCTGAGAAGTATTTGCTACTATTATTTCTATTTCACAGGTAAGGAAACTGAGTCAGACAAGTTAAGTGATTTACTCATGATCACACAGCTAGTAAATGTCTGAGGCTTGATTTGATCTTGGGTTTTCCAGACTCCAAATGCAACACTGTGCCTCCCAGTGGTATGCACATAGTCGACACTTAATGTTTGTTGAATTTTTTGAATTGATGCAGAGTGAACTGAATTGAACTGAATCCATCCTCGCCCTGTTACTGTTCACAATCAGGAAGGCATATAATTTATTAGAAGAAAAGGAAGGCAGCAGTTGTGTCCAATAACTCTGCCTCTACCTTTCTTTGACAAATCCAGTTGTCAGACACACATGAAAGCAAAGCGAGCCTGGACTTTTAGAGAGGTGTTTTTAGACTTGCTTCTGAGGTGGCTGTTCAGTCACCAGAGAGGGCTAGAAAGTCAAATGAATCCGCACTGTTGGTTGGTTGGTTGTTGTCCTTCATTCTTGAAGACCAAAATGACATCACTATATTAGAGTCAAGGTACAGTGTGTCGGACTGTGGCTGGTTAGACCAACATGAGCTCAGAATGCTCTGCCACCGGGCACAGATAGTCCATAGGAACATTTGAGGTAGAGATATCTCTAAATTTATACATTTTACCTTTCTTTTGAGCTACTGCAATTTTGCTTCAGTCACAAAGCACAGCGCCATCTTTGACAGAGGTGTGCCATGCTGGGCAGTCCTTCGTCAGCATCACCCATGTCATTCAATCGATTCCAAAGTTCTTCAGAGAGACCTTGAGAGTTTCCTTGTATCGCTTCTTCTCACCACCATGTGAGTACCTTCCTTGCATGAATTCTCCATAAAACGCTCTTTTAGGCAAATGTACATTTGGCATTCAAACAATGTGGCCAGCCCGTCAGAGTTGCACTCTTTGCAACAGAGTTTGAATGCTTGGGAGTTCAGTTCAAGAACGGACCTCAGTGTCAGTACCTTATCTTACTAGCTGATCTTCAGAATCTTCCTAAGACAATTCAAATGGAAGCAATTGAGTTTTCTGGCATAGTGCTAGTATGTGGATAGTAGACTGTCCAGCTTTCACAGGCATGCAACAATAAGGTCAGCATGATAGCTCAATTTGGTAGGCAGTCTAATACCTCTCTCTCCCACATTTTCCTTCAGAGCTAGCTCTGGCAATGTGTGCATCAACTTCATTATGAATGTGTACATCCCTGAAAAATATACTGTTAAGGTAAGTGAACTTATCCAGAGTGTTCAAAACATCTTCATTTGCTATAAAGAATGGTTCCACATACGTATGGTGTGGTGTCAGCTGGTGGAGAAGCTCTGTTTTCTCGGTGTTGTCAGACCAAAATTAACACAAGCAGCAGAGACTCAATCCATACTTTGTTGCATCTCAGCTTTAGAGACTGCATTGTGTGCACAATCATCTGCACCAACTCTCCCTTCACTTTAATCTTGGCTTGTACCCTTTTCAAGTTAAATAATTTACCATCAGTACAGTAGCTTATTTCGATGCTGTGTTCATTCTCATTGAAGGTATCTGACAACATTGCTGAAAACATCATGCTAAAAAGCATGGGAGCAAGTGCACCGACTTCTTTCACTCCATTAGTGACTGAGAAAGCACAAGGGCATTATCCATTATCCAGATCCCAGGCAAACACAGTTCTGATGAACTTTTCCAGGCAATCAAATTTTGACATAATTTTCCACAAGCCCTCACGACTGACAAAACCAAAGGTCTCAGTCAGATCGAGGAATGTTGCGTACAGACCTCTGTTCTGCTCCTGGTATTTATCCTGGAGTTGTCAAGCAGCAAACGCCATATCAATTGTTCCTTGTCCCTTTCTGAAGCTACACTGGCTGTCAGGTGGATAAGCATCTTCCAGGTAAAGGATCAGCCTATTAAGGAGGACTCTGGCAAGAATCCTGCTGGGAATGATTAAGAGACAGTCCCACCCTGTGACTGTCACAGGACAATCTACTTCCTTTATTTTTGTAGAGATGGAAAGCATCCTTGAACTCCGGGGCAATAAACTCCTCTTGCCATGCAACCTAGAAAAACTCAGTCAACTTTTTTTATGAGTAGTGGATCTCCTGCCTTGTAAATCTCAGTTGGAATAGAATCAGCACCAGGTGCTTTGCCACATGAGAGGAACCAAATGGCATTCAAAACCTCTTCTTCATATAGAAATTCTGCTAGAGAGGGACTGACTTCAGCCTGAGGATGGTATCATCTATGGCTTCAGCACTGATTGATGATGATCAGTTGAGAAAATTGTGGAAGTGTTCAGCCCATCTCTCTAGGATTACGTCCTTTTTACTAATCAATGTGGCTCCATCAACACTAAGTAGTTGAGATACAGCATAGGTCTTTGGCCCATAAATAGCCTTCAGGGCATCAAAAAAGTGTTTGGGATTGTTGCTATCAGTGTAAAACTGACTTTCACTTACCTTCTTACTGAGCCAAGAATCTTGCATCTTTCTAAACTTCATTTGCACTTTACTTTTGGTGGAGTTAAACACTGCCTTCTTAGAGATGGATGAACTAGCCTGCTGATAAACCCTGTGGAGTTCTCATTTTTTGTTTAGCAGTTTCTAAATTTCCCCATCATTTTCATCAAACCAGTCTTGATGTTTGCAAGTGTTCTCACCCAGATGAGTAAATGCAGGGCGTTTCACCTAATCTCTGAAAGCTGTCCACTTCTTTTCTGCTCTACTGTTGCCAACTATGTGTTGGCTCAGCCTTTAAGAGTAAACAATGAACTATTCCCACTCGGAATCTCTCTAATCTGTTGACATTAAATCTTCTGATAGTCATCTTGCCTAGGAGCCACCACTTTTGTTGAATGAGAATATTTAACTTGGAGAGGATAAATCTATTATCAGTCCAGCTCTCTGAGCCACACAACATCTCCATCACTTTCACATCCTTTCTCTCTTTTCTCCTTATAATGATACACTCTATTAAATGCCAATGTTTGCTGCAAGGGTGCATCTACGAATGTTTATTCCATTTAAGTAAATGTTGTGTGTTGGTCATGAGATACACAAGTCTTCACTAGTAACTGACCATTACTGCTGCTGTTTCCAACAGCATTCCACTCCTCCCAAGGACTCCCTGCCATGTCTAGTAGTCTTTGCCTATTCTTGCATAAAGTCACCCAGAACTATAAGCTTTTCTTCTTTTGGCACATCGATTGGCACATACGAGGGTCTACAGGTCTTCATAAAATTTTCCTTTAACCTCATCAGGATTCATCGGGGTGGGAGAATAGCCACTAATGATGGTCGTGTGTCACTTTCCTGCAAGTGGCAATTGCATTGTCATGAGCCTGTCATTCACTCCTTTGGTAGGCATACAAGTTTGTTTACTAAATTAGTTTTGATTGCAAAACCTACACCAGCTTCATGACGCTCCCCTTTGCTGTGGCCACTCCAGAAAAAGGTGTATACAGCTCTGACTTCAGTAAGCTGGCCTTCATTTGCCAGCTTTGTTTCACTGAGGGCTGCTATTTGGATGTGATACCTGCTAAGTTCTCTTGCAACAAGAGGTGTTCATCTTTCAGATCTATTGGATTTTTTGCTGCCCATAAGAATGCATGCATTCCATGTATTGAGTAGAATCAT